GTAATAATGACTATTTTAGCTATAGGCAGACTGAGTTCCTTACAAATAGGGTCCCGATGCTTGACAGTACTGTTTGTATGTACACAAAGGATGAGGACGAAAAAGAAAAATATGATATGAGTGTATATATATATATAGTAATAATGACTATTTTAGCTATAGGCAGACTGAGTTGAGAAGTGTAGGAGGAGAATGATGCTATTTAGATTTTGGTTTTGAAGATGCAGTCCACTGACGGCTGTTCTTATTAATTGAAACATTTTGTCAATAACACCTGAACACCTAAATCGTAAACCAGACTATCAATGCCTGTAAGAACTGCAAATACATTTGTTCAAAACAACGTTGTGACCCAATATTTCGTAAAAAAAAATTCGTGGAATTTGATTTTCAACCTAAAATCTCATCAAGCATCATTGACAATAGCATTTATTATTGCTCGATATATTTCATACATAGATAAGATAGGCTTAGAGTTTCGCATTTTCAACTATTTTAGTAGCTTCAGTCACTTCTTTGACTGGGTGTAACCAGTGGTTAGCGTATCCAGACCGTGAATCCTTGTTTTCACTAAGATTGTTTTTAGACAATTTTAATATATTTTGTTAAAGTTTAAATAAAATATTTGCACTACAAGATGTTCTGATAGTGTTTGATTATTTCGTTGTATTTGTAGTGAAATTAGATAATGATTAATGTTTTTCTGTTTTATGTATAATAGTAATAACTACATTTATATGTGTGTGTGTGGTGGTTTCAATCATTTAAAAACGAAGGGGTTGTGGGTTCACCGTAGATTAGATACACTTAATTATTTAAAATTTGAGTTTTATTGAGCATTTTCAACATTTAAGACGTTCTTTGTTTATTTAAATGACTTGTAATCAAACTATACTTGTATAAAATGTATGCAAAATTAAATTCATTATAATGGTTTGTTTTGAATTTTGCGCAAAGCTACACGAGAGCTATCTGCGCTAGCCGTCCCTAATTTAGCAGTATAAGACTAGAGAGAGAGAGCTAGCCATCACAACCCACTGCCAACTCTTGGGCTACTCTTTTACCAACGAATGACCATCACATTATAACGCCCCCACGGCTGAAAGGGCGAGTATGTTTGGTGTGACGGGGATTCGAACCCGCGACCGCAAATTGCGAGTCTCGAGCGCCCTAACCACCTGGCCATGTCGGGCCTAACTCATTATAATAAAAACGTGGTTCAATAAGTAACTTCTCCCATTATTGAATCTTTTCTGCGTAGGTAACATTTGATTTGGAACACCAAAACTCATTGTTCCTTTGTCAGTATGTGTCGACAGTTTATGTACTGACCACGGATATAAGAACGTTAATCTAAAACAAATGAGTATTACAACGTTTTTTGGGTCACCCTGTATGTATTGCAGTAATGCGTTGGTTTAAGGTACCCCCAGTGGCTCAGTGATAAGTCAGGCAGGGGCTTATAATGCTAAAAGTCAGGTTTCGACACTCGCGGTGGGCACAGTACAGATATCTCTCTATATGTATCTTTGCGCTTAGCAATAATAAATTGGTTTAAAGGTTACCTAAGGCATAAATAATTTATAGAAGTTATAATTTATGCTTAAATAAAACGTGACTGTTTTATTCACGTAGTTCATCGACAGTGAAACATATTTTCAAACTTTAGTGGGCCGCAATGAGACTTTAAGATGTATCCTTCGTTCATCGCAAATGTTCTTTACAACTTTTATCGTCTTTACCCCATAGGTTCAGAAGAACATTTATGGTTCCATATCGACGCTGCTTATGCTGGTTCTGCTTTTATCTGTTCTGAATTCAGACATCTTCTGGATGGTGTAGAGGTAAATGGTTTTCTGCAAAGAATCTAGAAACATGTTTGATTCTTCTGTTTGTAATTAACTCTTTGAAATTTAGACCTAGTTTATATTAAATATCTCACGCTATTTCCATAACATGTGATCGACTGATCTCTTTATTCAAGTAACTAACTAACATAAATACCGCTGTGGGGTCCACAGAGACCCCACTGTACCGATCAAGCACTTACATTACCCCTATTACTCTTCTGTTTAATATCATCATAAAAAACCTCCCCATCATAACACACACAGACTTATAATCGTAGTCCTAGTGATATTTTATTGTCTCTTACGCCCATGTATGAAACTATAACGTTAACTAGTGAGTTTTCTACTTCGTGATATCTAAATCTAAAAACTAGCGATGAACACCATCGGAGTTTTAAACATATTTTTTAAATTATTTATACACCAAATTGTTTGTGGGTCCATGACCCTGTTGGTTACAAGATTCCTAATAAACATATGAATCACACAAAGTATTAAAACAAAACATACTTGTCAATGCAGCAATTAATTTTGTATATCCATTTTGGGATCCCTTATGTTAATGGAGCTTCCCAAATCCCATGGTTCATGGAAGAGAATTATGGGGTTTTCAGGATTGTATCAAGTGAACGATATGTCGGTAATTTGAAGGTTATCGGTAATTTGGTGTATCTACAAATGATACACAATATATAATTCCTTGTTTATCGTTATCAAATAGTTCAGATAATGTGTATTGAATAGTTGTGACTTTGTACAGATTAGGGAAAAATATATCTAGGATACGAGATTTATTTCTTCAAGTTATGAAATGTCAATTTTGTTTTCAAGTTTTATTAGGAGCATTCGAAATATGTTGCACGGAGCGTTATTCAATTAGGCCCGTCATGGCCAGGTGGTTAGGGGGCGCTCGACTTGCAATCTGAGGGTGGCGGGTTGGAATCCTGGTCCCACCAAACATGCTCGCGTTATAATGTGACGATCAATCCACCATTCGTCGGTAAAAGAGTAGCCCAAGAGTTGGCGGTTGGTGGTGATGACTAGCTGCCTTCCCTCTAGTCTTACACTGCTAAATTAGGGACGGCTAGCGCAGATAGCCCTTGTGTGGCTTTGCGCGAAATTCAAAACAAACAAACAAATTATTTAATGAAAGAATTATAAATACGTTATCTCTTAACGATGTATTACTACTAAAGTATTATTTGAAACAATTTTACGTCATTAATATTGAAGTTGATATCAAATCATGGAGTGAGATTTCAGTATTAAATGAATAATGAGCGAATAAAATAAAACTGAACGTGGTGTTTAAATTACTTTCTAATTAGGCTATATATCACGTGCCATTAGTAACTGAACGTGGTGTTTAAATTACTTTCTCGTTAGACTATATATTACGTGTCATTAGTAACTGAACGTGGTGTTTAAGTTACTTTCTAATTAGGCTATATATCACGTGCCATTAGTAACTGAACGTGGTGTTTAAATTACTTTCTAATTAGGCTATATATCACGTGCCATTAGTAACTGAACGTGGTGTTTAAATTACTTTCTAATTAGGCTATATATCACGTGCCATTAGTAACTGAACGTGGTGTTTAAATTACTTTCTAATTAGGCTATATATCACGTGTCATTAGTAAAGGAACGTGGTTTTTAAATTACTTTCTAATTAGGCTATATATCACGTGTCATTAGTAAAGGAACGTGGTTTTTAAATTACTTTCTAATTAGGCGTGTCATTAAGTAAAAATTTTATTGTGCATTACTCCATTGAAATAGTTTTCAGTCTGAAACTTTTTGTCGAAACTGTTTTATTTCACCAGATCTAATACAAAAATGTTGCATACCGCAAACAAACCTAAAGAGTCGAATATAAACATGTTGTTAAAACACATACATCAAGGGTCTAATATAAAAGCTTCGCAAAAAATAAACTCAAGAATTGAATACAAAAATGTTGCTAAAATACAAACAAATAATCGAATATAACAATTTTGCAAAACGCCAACAAAGCTCAAGTGTCAAACAATAAAATGGAAAAACCAAAACTCAAGAATTGAATACAAAAATGTTGCTAAAATACAAACAAATAATCGAATATAACAATTTTGCAAAACGCCAACAAAGCTCAAGTGTCAAACAATAAAATGGAAAAACCAAAACTCAAGAATTGAATACAAAAAAGAGGAAACAACCCTCAAAGGTTTAATAAAAGTGTTATTTTTTCTAGAATGCAGATTCCTTCAGCATGAATCCCCATAAATGGCTGCTTGTGAACTTTGACTGTTCTACCATGTGGTGAGTGACATCATTGTTTTTTTTTAGTATTTATTAACAGATTATCTGTAAATAAGTTGCTGTTGTTTTCTTAATGCAAAACTACACAATTGGCTATCTGCACTTACACTGCAGGGACTCGAACCCCTGTTTTTTAACGTTGTAAACTTACCGCTGACCCACCAGGGGACTCTTTTAGAGAACATCATTTTTTGAAGGTTGTTTTGAACAGAGAATCGCTTCATTTATCCAATAAGCTAATTTTGTTAAATATGTTTATATTTTCCTCTTGTTTATTTATCGTGTATCTTTAAGTACTTCCTTAAAAATTACAATAACTTATCTCGTATAATTTTTGTCCCCCTTACATCTATATTGGTCTACAAGGTGTCCAAAAGTCGGTTGCCATAGGCTGAATGTGTATACAAGTTTACAGAATATGATCATTATATCCGCTCTAAAAATCGACACAGTACGGAAAAGGTTCAATCCAGATCATCCCCGTACGTTTTATTAATGCTAGGTGTCAGTATCTAAAAATATATGCAATGGAACCAACTTATGTGAAAATCTGTTTTGTTTCAAACATGAGAACGATTGATGGGTGTAACTTGCTAATTAGAATAGTAATATTGTGTTATAACGAAGTTTACTTAGGAAAATAATAGGCGGCCATACTCCGAGAACTGTAACAGTGATATGATAAAATTGAACATTGTTTTAATTTCGCTTTTTTTTGCTCGTATGTACAATCTATAGGATAAAGAACAGACACGACATCGTTGAAGCTTTCAGCGTCAACCCCCTTTATTTAAAACACGATAAGGAGGGACAAATTCCGGATTACAGAGTAAGTTTTGAGTTATTAACGTGTAGGTGTTTATGTAGCACAGGGCCGGATTTAGACCCCCATGCAATACTGTGGTGCTGGAGGCACTCTTTCTAGGGTTATTCGAAATTGAGGACACCTTCTTTGAAGCTCGATGCCCCCATGGTTGTACTCCCTTTAAATCTGGCACTGATTTAGTACTGCAGAGTAAGTGTTATGTTACTGCAGAGTTAATGTTGTGTGTTACTTAAATGTGTACTATTCGTTATGTTGCCTGTTGGAAAAAATATTCTTTGTTAGTTATGTTAATACAGAGTGTTGTTGTATCGTTACAGGAATAATATTACAAACTTGTTAAGTGCCATGTAGTACATTTTGTGCTTCTACAAAATGTTATGTTTACGGAATAATATGTTACGCCTTTCAACTAAGTAAATGTTGCATATTAATGGTGATTATGTGATGATACAAAGTAAGTGAAGTATTTTACTGAAGAGTAAGTGTTACGTGATTTGCAGGGTAAGTGATATGTGTAACTAAGCATAAGTGTTATGGGATGATAAAGAGTAGGTGAATGTGTGTTACTGAAGATTAAGTGTTACGTGATTTGCAGGGTAAGTGATATGTGTAACTGAAGCATAAGTGTTATGGGATGATAAAGAGTAGGTGAATGTGTGTTACTGAAGATTAAGTGTTACGTGATTTGCAGGGTAAGTGATATGTGTAACTGAAGCATAAGTGTTATGGGATGATAAAGAGTAGGTGAGTGTGTGTTACTGAAGTGTAAAG